GAAATATATCAAAACGGTGAAAGCTCTGCAAAGTGACGGTTTTACGGTATGAAATAAAATATGCCACACATTGCAGTGTGTGAAAACATGCACATGGTCAACTGCATGCGCTGGTGACAATATGAAAATTTTGGGAAAATTCTCATTGATTCTCAGTACACTTTTACCCGAATTCGAATGCATACTTCTATAATTAGTGAGGAATTTCCTGAGCTCCTGAGCTGCAATAAGCCGACATATATCCCAACACTCCCCAAAAGCCATCGCGCTTTCACATGTAGTGGGAATTAATTCGATGCCAAAGAAAATTTATGTTTTCCATCAGAATTTTCGTATCGCACAAAAATGTTTTTTCACTGGATTTCCCGACAAATTCCAAAAAAAATCGCCGATTTTTCCAATGCTACACTACTAATTTTTCTCCATAACTACCTTTTTCTCCTCTTTTCTGTGCTCTCGATCTTCTTTATTAACAGCTTGCAATAAGTACTGCCCTAGTGATGAGTTCACGCTCTGCAGCTGTGAAATACATCTAAGGAAAATCACACAGAATAGAACAAATAATTCATGCGAACAAACTCAATACTAAGAAAAATAATTAATAACAATTGCGAAACGAGCGAAGCATATCCCGCAACAACAGGCACTTCCGCATTGTGTGTGCGTGGGTGCAGAATTACCATCCCTTAACTACTAAGTTTAATTGACTTTGGAATCTCGTGGACACTAGCCGCTTTTTCCAAACTTGAGTGCCGCCAGATAGATCAGACGGCTTCTCTATATCCCGAGGTTGGCGCGTATTTTGCGAACGGCTCAAAGAGATATGCACTAAACCTTTTTTTGACGGAGAAATTCCCAGCCCGAAAATCGAACCAGGGACGTACGATAAATTCACTCACTGACTCAATGGACGCGGACTAAGTGAGCCTCGCCTCCGCGTTACCAAGACCTAGTAATAATTACTTTCTAACTTCTTCATATTCTCCTTTCTGTCGAAGTGCTGTGGCTTTCCTATACAATGCCTTGGCCTCCAGAGGATTTTTCTTCAGCACACTGTCACAGTGCCGTACGGCGTCATCCCATCGCTGAATGCAAAGCCCGATGTGAGCAATCCCGCACAGGTTCTATCCCACCCTCAGACGTAAACAAGCCTGTGCAGCATTCAGCTCTGCTCGTGTTGCTATTTGGTCAACCTCTACAACAGAATATATCAAAAAACTCCGCTCCGTCGCTGATACTACCATTTTGCTTGGACGAGTCCTGAGCGTACGCTTCCTTGCTGTTTATATAACCGATGCTTTTCAAAGTCATCTCCCAGGCTTTCAGCGCGCCCTGAATTCATCATCAGAAAAAATGCGATTGGATGATTTAACGACTACGACAATCAGCAAAAACTAATTCGATCGAATAGAAGAAGTCACATGCAAAATCGCTCACGAAAAAAAGGTAAAATATCACCCTCCTCTTCTTCGAAAACAAGTTCATTTTTGAAGAGAGTAAAATGAATATTTTTCCCATCACAGCGAAATAGTTTCCCATACAACCTCAAAGTCGCCTGCAGCATAAAGCTCCTTTCCACGATCGGGTGATGACGTGCTGTGCTGAGACGACACTGTAGAAAGGGGCATAGAGAAGGGAGACTACAGTAGAGGCAGCATGAGGGTTTACTCGGAACGATTACTTATTAGAGGATTACAACTTACGTTATAATTATTATCGTGATTAATTTGTGAACCATTGGAGAAATGGTGACTTACAATTCTTCACATCTTAGAGGTCCGTCATTGAAATTGCGAAGACGCAACGGCAAGTTAACGCACTGTAGAGAATTGTGTCACGAAAGCGTTTGGGTTAAGATACGCCTTTTAGCGCAGAAAAGTCATCCCACATGGAGTTGTATAATCTGTCATGCTTTTACACAGCCAGACCAGATTGATGTAGTCCTCTGGCATAGCGGCCCCATTCGTCAGATAGCCCACATCAGATCGTCGCCAGATTCAGAGTCTGGAGTGCTAACCGTTACACCATAAAACCATCCATTTGTATTTACTTGACGCGGCGCTTTTGCTCTCCGATAGAATAACTATCATATGCTAAGGTTTTACCGGGATTTGAACCCAGATCGCCAGATTCAGAGTCTGGAGTGCTAACCACTACACCATAAAACCATCCACTTATATATACTTGACGCGGCGCTTTTGCTCTCCGATATAATAACTATCATATACCAAGGTTTTACCGGGATTTGAACCCAGATCGCCAGATTCAGAGTCTGGAGTGCTAACCGTTACACCATAAAACCATCCATTTGAATTTACTTGACGCGGCGATTTTGCTCTCCGATAGAATAACTATCATACATCAAGGTTTTACCGGGATTTGAACCCAGATCGCCAGATTCAGAATCTGGAGTGCTAACCGTTACACCATAAAACCATCCACTTATATATACTTGACGCAGCTCTTTTGCTCTCTGAAATAATAACTATCATATGCTAAGGTTTTACCGGGATTTGAACCTAGATCGCCAGATTCAGAGTCTGGAGTGCTAACCGTTACACCATAAAACCATTCATTTGTATTTACTTGACGCGGCGCTTTTGCTCTCCGATAGAATAACTATCATATACTAAGGTTTTACCGGGATTTGAACCCAGATCGCCAGATTCAGAGTCTGGAGTGCTAACCGTTACACCATAAAACCATCCACTTATATATACTTGACGCAGCTCTTTTGCTCTCTGAAATAATAACTATCATATGCTAAGGTTTTACCGGGATTTGAACCCAGATCGCCAGATTCAGAGTCTGGAGTGCTAACCGTTACACCATAAAACCATCCATTTATATATACTTGACGCAGCTCTTTTGCTCTCTGAAATAATAACTATCATATGCTAAGGTTTTACCGGGATTTGAACCCAGATCGCCAGATTCAGAGTCTGGAGTGCTAACCGTTACACCATAAAACCATCCATTTGTATTTACTTGACGCGGCGCTTTTGCTCTCCAATAGAATAACTATCATATAATAAGGTTTTACCGGGATTTGAACCCAGATCGCCAGATTCAGAGTCTGGAGTGCTAACCGTTACACCATAAAACCATCCACTTATATATACTTGACGCAGCTCTTTTGCTCTCTGAAATAATAACTATCATATGCTAAGGTTTTACCGGGATTTGAACCCAGATCGCCAGATTCAGAGTCTGGAGTGCTAACCGTTACACCATAAAACCATACATATCAAATAACTTGACGCGGCGCTTTTGCTCTCCTAAATAATAACTATCATATACTAAGGTTTTACCGGGATTTGAACCCAGATCGCCAGATTCAGAGTCTGGAGTGCTAACCGTTACACCATAAAACCATACATATCAAATAACTTGACGCGGCGCTTTTGCTCTCCGATATAATAACTATCATATACCAAGGTTTTACCGGGATTTGAACCCAGATCGCCAGATTCAGAGTCTGGAGTGCTAATCGTTACACCATAAAACCATCCATTTGTATTTACTTGACGCGGCGCTTTTGCTCTCCGATATAATAACTATCATATACCAAGGTTTTACCGGGATTTGAACCCAGAACGCCAGATTCAGAGTCTGGAGTGCTAACCGCTACACCATAAAACCATACATTTATATATACTTGACGCGGCGCTTTTGCTCTCCTAAATAATAACTATCATGTACTAAGGTTTTACCGGGATTTGAACCCAGATCGCCAGATTCAGAGTCTGGAGTGCTAACCGTTACACCATAAAACCATATATATCAAATGACTTGACGCGGCGCTTTTGCTCTCCGATATAATAACTATCATATACCAAGGTTTTACCGGGATTTGAACCCAGATCTCCAGATTCAGAGTCTGGAGTGCTAACCGTTACACCATAAAACCATCCATTTGTATTTACTTGACGCGGCGCTTTTGCTCTCCGATATAATAACTATCATATACCAAGGTTTTACCGGGATTTGAACCCAGATCGCCAGATTCAGAGTCTGGAGTGCTAACCGTTACACCATAAAACCATCCACTTGTATATACTTGACGCAGCTCTTTTGCTCTCTGAAATAATAACTATCATATGCTAAGGTTTTACCGGGATTTGAACCCAGATCGCCAGATTCAGAGTCTGGAGTGCTAACCGTTACACCATAAAACCATTCATTTGTATTTACTTGACGCGGCGCTTTTGCTCTCCGATAGAATAACTATCATATACTAAGGTTTTACCGGGATTTGAACCCAGATCGCCAGATTCAGAGTCTGGAGTGCTAACCGTTACACCATAAAACCATCTACTTATATATACTTGACGCAGCTCTTTTGCTCTCTGAAATAATAACTATCATATGCTAAGGTTTTACCCGGATTTGAACCCAGATCGCCAGATTCAGAGTCTGGAGTGCTAACCGTTACACCATAAAACCATCCATTTGTATTTACTTGACGCGGCGCTTTTGCTCTCCAATAGAATAACTATCATATAATAAGGTTTTACCGGGATTTGATCCCAGATCGCCAGATTCAGAGTCTGGAGTGCTAACCGTTACACCATAAAACCATCCACTTATATATATTTGACGCAGCTCTTTTGCTCTCTGAAATAATAACTATCATATGGTAAGGTTTTACCCGGATTTGAACCCAGATCGCCAGATTCAGAGTCTGGAGTGCTAACCGTTACACCATAAAAC